CCCCCCCCCCCCCCCCCCCAAGCGAATTGCGAGGCTCCTGGCTTCCTGCCAGTCAGCTGGGGCCTGGCATGGTGCGCTGGCCTTGTTGGAGGCCCGAAACGAGACTCAGAAGCATCGTGTAGGAGCCTGAATCAGTACCGAGGTGCCTTATATTTGTTCCGTGTTTTTTGTGGGGGTTAGCACTAACACAACCCCGTGTAAGCCACCCAAAGGTTCGGTCTTATGCCGATACGAGGCTCATGAGAATCTGCCTCTGTTGCGCCGCAAGGCAGTCTTGGAAACCTTGTGTAGCTTTGTACTCTATGCTCGTTTGGCTCTAAACGTCAGATTTGATCTTTGATAAACCTAGGCGAAGTCGGCGTATGGTTTTCAGGTGTGCGTTTCGGTAGGTTGATGTACTTTAGATGATATCGGAGCAAGCGCAGGCTGCCACGGCCTCTCCACGAGATTCCCTCCTGGAGGAACTTGGGCGGCAAATCCGGTGTTTACAGTCTCTGTGAGGCTGAAAAACCGGCACCCAGAAAACTTAGCTGCATGGACTTTGCAGAAGTGTGAGTCTTTGGGCCCTGCAGAGCTGTGGTGTAGGGTTTCTGAAGCATCGGGGGCACTACGGCCTCAATCAAGACGGACAGAGGCTTCCATGCCATCAGAATCACTAATGTAAGCACATATGAAGCAAGATCTGGAACCTGAGGACCCTGAGCCTTACGCTTTCCTTTCCGTATCTGGGTTCTAGATGCATACCCTCTGTGCTTCAGAAGGGCCTTGATTTTAAAAAGTTGGCAGTTAGATGCCATGCAAACTGTAGAGCTGTTTCGGGGTCGACTGCTGCTTGCAGGCCAGGCACTCGGCCCAAATGTTCCAACTTGGGGGAGTCCTCCACCCGCCTGGTGATGCAACAGGCACTTGGGGCTGAGTAGTAAGTGTCAAAAACCTTGGAAGTGATGGGACTGTTCGAAATGCTCTACGAGGCAATAGAATGGGCTTACAGCATGAGTCCAGGAAGCCTGCAAGTGGATAGGGCTTCACAAACCTCGGCATCGCCAACAATGCTGTAAACTTCAGCATGGATCGCCCGAGCAATTTCAATTTCAGCAGAAGCTATTCGGTGTTTGAAAGTACCAACACTCTCAAGGCTACAAGATTAACGCGGCACTCATATTGCCCGCAATACTCGGGTGGCGTTGGCGGCATAGATTCCGGGGCTTCCGCTTCAGGATTTAGCCAAGCTTCGCCTGTTCGGAGTTTCCTTTGGGTTTTCTGCAGGGTTGGAAGATGGTTCTCGGTTGCATTGACTAGGCTACACGGCTACGCGGGGCTTGATCAAGATCGGGGTTCCGTCTCTGGCACCGGTATTCAGGCTCCTGCTCTTTCGGGGCCATGTGGTTCTGTTTGTCTCGGCTGCGGATTCAAGCTTCTCTAGTCGGGCCTGATA